TGAACTGCTGGCAACCCAGCCAGCCCCTTAACTGCAGGGGGGCCCCAGTCCTTTCCTCCACGGTGGTGGTGCCCCCCTGGGGCCACCCACATGGGCTGCTAGCAGGCTGGGTGCTGCTCCAGCTCAGAGGCAGCACCTGGCCCGATCCAAGTCTTTCCCAAGCCTGCCCACTGGAAAGCCCATGAGCGCTGTTCTTTGAGCCCACCTGAGGTACAGTGCCTGCCAGGCTTCCAGTGGATGGGCTTGGAGAGATTTGGGTCAGGTCCAGTGCTGCCTCTGAGCTGGGGCAGCACCCAACCTGCTAGCAGTCCACCTGATCCAACACTTTCCCGAGCCCGCCCAGGCTTCTAGAGCCCCATGCACCATCCCTGCTTCTTTCTTTGGCTGCCAGCACACCCAGCCACCCTCTTGCTGCCTTCCTGCACTGCCCCAGGGGCAAGCCAGCCCATTCCCGGAAGGCCCCAGGTGTTCTGCCAGCTATGGGAGCCTGCTGAAGGCAGAAGTGGCAAGGGGCCCAGTCCTTTTTTTTTTTTTTCTGCGGAGCCTGCCTGCTTCTGCCATGGCCAGGGGGCGAGCTGCCAGCTGCATTGTTGAAATTTGCAACATTCCAAACTAAACTACATCCTCATGTAGTTTAGTTTGCAATGATGCAAACTCACCTAAACCCCCCAAAACTGGTGCATGTGTAATGTGTGACACCATTAAGTTACACAAATGACATTTTTGTCGTGTGTACATTGTGAAAACTCATATGTACAAGCATCCTCTAGGCCTAAACTGATAAGAAGGCAAAGGTAGAAAAAGGTATTGAGAAGGGATTTTCTGGTAAATCATAAAAGTTAATTTTCAAAACCTTTATTTTGGGCTTAATTTGTCCTGACAACCTCCCTTTGAAGTGTTGTGACAATGAGTGCCAGAAAGCTATTAGGCTTTTAAATTACTTTTACTGTCCACTTGTGTCCAAGAGATTCTTCTTATGTATTTCCTAGTCCCTCCCAGCTGCAGTTCTGAACCCAAACTGTGACTGCTTACTCTGAAAATAGTGGAACTATGGCCAGCATAAAATACTGTTCAGTGTGAATAAGGGTGGTGGAATCCATCCCAGAATGAGGATGCTGTGGTAGTGCCTTGATAGTGATATTTAAAGTAGTAATCAGTCTGGGTCAGATCCCTCCAGGCTTATACAGATAGCCTAGTCTCTCCCTTCACCAATAGTTGTGTTGAGTCACTAGAGCTGCTACTGAGTAATTTGAATAAGGGCGATAGAATCTGGTTCTTTGTATTGGAAATAAGGCACCTGGGCATGTTTTCAGAAAAGGGGAAGAAGAGTGATTGTGCAGCTACTGCCACTGAAGTTCTCTTCTTGTTTGTAGTGTGTGAGTGTAATTCAGCTGGTGTCCTTCCTGAAATCTGCAATTCTCTTGGGAAGTGTCTTTGCCGTTTTGAGGTGGGTGGTCCTCAATGTGACAACTGTCATCCTGGCTACCATTCTTTTCCCACCTGTCAAGGTAAGGGCATAGATAATAAGTATAACATTGAATTAACCACTGAATGGCAACATCATCATGATTGTACCTCCTGTCTCTTCTTGCCTCAACTGAAAACGAATTTACTGTTGCAAACATGTAAGAGTCTGTCTGGTTCTTCATGGTGAAAGTTCACAGTTTCCCCATATGGAGTTGCTGCTCCTGCGTGCCAACACTGATAGTAATACAGGGCAAGTTTTCAAAGTAGAGAAGATTCATTTGCTTGCTTGCTTTTTCTGCTCGTCATTCCCTGGACAAATTGAGGCCTACAGGGTGCAGATGAGCATCAGTTTTGTAAAACTTACAAATAAGACATTCTTTATTTTGCAAATGAGAAACTTTCATTTTCCCCTTATGAGCCATCTCATGTTTATTTTGAGACCTGGGGAAAGATGTTGGATCCATCTCTGTTCATATTTATACTTCATAGATAGATGATGTGAGGAAAGTTGTTAATTCAAGGTGTAAGTGGGGCAGACCCTTAGTGCTGAGGTGAATTTTACTCTGAGAAAGAATAGGTGAAGTCTCTTGTTGCCATAAAATTTCTGATGCATATTTACATGCTCACCTGAATGCAGGTATGGGCTATAGATGACTGCTTCCTACTGTATTACTTTTCTTGTGTTAATAACTATAAATATAGGGCTGACAAATTATTTAAAAATGTGATCATGATTAGTTGTGCAATTAAAAAATTAGTCACAATCGCAATTTTAATTGCACAGCTAAAAACTCAAAATTATGCGCAGAAAAACTCAAAATTTTGCAGAATTATGCAGGTACTTTGTATGGCTGGGGCGTGGGTTTGGGGTATGTGTGGGGGGAATTTGTGAAGATGTGGGGGGCTGTGGGCATGTATGTGGGGTTTGGAGCCTGGGGAAGGGGGACCCCAGCCCACCCTGGCAGAATGTGGGGTACTGTGGGTCAGGAGTGAGGAGTGGCAGCAGGGCTGGTGGGGCTGTGGTTTGGGACTGAGAGGTAGAGGCAGGGCATGGGCATACCACTGACCCTTCCCACAATCATTTTACCCATTCCACAGATGTCCTCTTTTTGGAAACTGGAAATATGGTAATCCTACAGGAATGCAGTCCAGTGGCATGTGAAGTCTGTGGAGGGGAAGGGGCAGGGGAGCAGATCGAGAACCCCATGGTGAGGGAGGCAGTGGGGCAGGGGTAGGGGCTGGGGTGAGTGGGACCCTGGGGTTGGGGCCAGGGCAACTCATGGGATGGAGCTGCGGGAGGCTCATCCAGGAGTGCAGGGCAGAGGCTGATCCCTTGCTGCTGTGCACACCCCTGGGGGAGGCATGGGGAGCATTTGCTCCTTGAATATGTGTGCAGGGTAGAGGTGGGCTGCCTGTTGTGGGCTGGGGCTCTGCACCCTGCTGCCTTTGCCCCAGAAGCCACATGATGCCACGTTGTGCCTCCCTCTGCTAGGCGGGCAGGGGTTGCACGGCCAGTGCATGGCACCCAGGACAAAGGCAGCAGGGCATGTAGCTTCAGCCCACAGTGGGCAGCTCACCTCTGCCCTTCACACAAAACTGGGGGGCATATGCCCCCCATACCTCCCCCAGGGATGTGCACAGCAGCGGGGAGCGTCTCCCACCCCCGCACCCCTGGACAAGCCTCCCGTGGCTCCGTTCCACAACCCACCCCAGGCCTGGCCCCAGGGTCACATTCATCCCTGCCCCTGTCCCATTCTCTCCCTCACCATGGGAGCCTTGATCTGGCCACTCCACCTCCTCCCCCTCCTTTTCCTCCCACCCCTTCCCCTTCCCCTCCCTCTTCCTCTCTACAGACTTATCTGTTGGGCACTGCTCTACACACTGCCAGGCTGCATTCCTGGCCATGTGCATGCTGCGGCTGTGCGCCTGCGCATGGTGTCTTGATATGGCACTGATATATCAGTACCCCTCCCCACCCCCATTTCCTCCTGCAGCAGCCCAGAGCCCACACTGCCATGTAGCTCCTCTGCACTGCCATTACCACCCTGCTGGGAGGCCTGGAGGTGGGGATGACAGTGGTGGAGAGGAGCTGGGAGACAGGCTGCAAAACCACATGCATGATTAACACGTTAAAAAAATTAACATGTTGATTGGTCCTTGTATTAATTGTGCACATTAACGGCAATTAATTGACAGCCCTAACTATAATTGATGCCTTCTTTATGGGCTCTGTGTACTTGTTATATGGCCTGTGAAAGGACTGCAGAATCCTTTATGCTTTTAAGAAAAAAAATACAAAATAATAGATTTAGTTAAAAAACAAAATGGATGGAATTAACAATTACTGTACTGCTGTGCCTTTTTGGATCTGGAGCACATTAAAATGTTCTAATGAAAAACACTGAATCAACATTCTTCATCGGTACACGCAGTTCAGTGGTTTTAAAATACTAACCCCATGCAATATATATTTTTTAACTTGGAAGTGAATCAAGTAGCAAACTAGTAGAGCAAATGAAGCCCATATTGAACTAGTTTGAACTTTTAACACTGAAGCCTGAAATTAAATATAAAAGGCATAAAATAGCATAATAAAAACAAGTCACAGAAAAGACTAAAGAAAGATAATTGAACGGAACAGAGAAAAGTTAAATGGAGATCCCAAGTACAAAAAAGGTGTCAATTTCTCCTTTACAATTGATTACTTAAATATAATCATAAAACAAAAGTGAGAATAGATGGTAGGACCGTAGTTAATAGTTTTCTACGTAACGTATTAGCAGAAATACTTAAATTGATCATAAAAAGAGTTGTGCTTAGTACCCAGTGTTATCCATCTGTGTGCCCACCCCATTTGGAAGCATATCACTGTTCTCATCAATTATATGCACTAGTCTGGACTAGGTTTTCTTCTTTCTTATAGCTTGGTCCTGCCTAATTGAAATCAAAAGGAGCAATTCCCTTATTTTAATGGAAGTAGGATCAGAGTTAAACACTTATATTGATTCAACTCTATTAAAATGAGAAGGAGAGTTTAACCATCTGCCTTTAATATGATGTACAGTTGCAGGCATCGGTGCTACAGAAGTAGGTGTGTTTTATGTTTTGAGGAGAGGTGAATGTAGATTTGCTGGGGTAGAATTCCTAGCTCTCACTGAGTACGAGCCCTACGACTTTCCTTGAGCATGTGAAACGAACACAGAATAAGACAGAATTGGCTTCTGGAGCGAGAGGTACTGAAAGGGGAACCAGAAACATAGAAATGGAAGCAATACACAAATAGCATGTGCCTTACTTGTTTTCATTTCTATCTGTCAGAACAGCAGCTATGATGGGACTGAATTAAGTCTTTCCACTCATTTGTTTTTGTGGTCGGATATTTGCCAAGTGTTTGAACACGACCCCTTGGCTCAAGCTTATGACCACAGATTCCTAAGTGGTCTTAAATACTAGCTATGCCCAGGATTGTTTTGCTTCTGAGATCAGGCAAGAGCAGGTGCATTGGGTGCAGAATATTAGTAGATTTGTAACTGCTGTAAAAGCACCAACCCAGACAACAGTTACAGCCCGGCAGTGTGATTCATGCCTGTACACAGCAAATAAATCAGCTGTTTTGCACTGTGGCGTCAATTCACATGACATTTTGTTGAAACAAAAGTAGGTCAGCAGTTTTTAATATGTACACTTTGTATCCAATGCTTAGGCTGATAAATTGCTTGTTAGTCATTATGGCATACCAGTCCAGATAGGGTCCTACCTTATGAATACTTATTTTTTTAAGACTTTAAATACTTAGCCTCAAGTTTTCAAAGTAAATTGGTTTCAAAGTAAATTTCCATCCCTTACATGTAGTTTGCAAAGGATCAGGCTAAATCTTTAAACTATAAATTATTGCATCACAGTAAGAACAAGATTATCACAGTTAAGACGGTAATTGCATTCTAAGTTCCTATTTGAAGATGTTTATTTTTTTTCTGGTAAAATTATGGTTTTGGTCAAATTCCTCATGGTTGTTTGAGTCAAAGGTGAGTTTTTTTTGGAAGGGGGGGTTGTTTTGTTTTTTAAATAACTGGTGGTTTAGTCAAGTAGCTGTGTGGGTAGTTATTTATTATTTTTTACTTTGGCAGAGTGTAGCTGCAATGCACTTGGCTCAGTGGACAATGGATGTGGTCCTAGAGGTCAGTGCCAGTGCCATCCCAACTATGCTGGTCTTAGATGCGACCAATGTGCTCCGGGCTATTACAGTTACCCCAGTTGCTTACGTGAGTAACAGCCATTCCTTCTTTTGCTCTGCTTTTCTTTTGTTTGCTGTTACACAGAGGAAATCAGTAATTCCCTCAAAAGCTTTTTCATATAAAACCTTGAATCAGGCAAAGGTGCAGGTCAGTAGAGGCAGGAAGAGTGACAGTTCTTCTTCCTTCTATTTATTGGGGACAAGACTTGTAGGAAACTCTGTAGGCCAGATATAGAGATTATACCTTTACTGGTATACGTAATCAGAAACCAGTCTGTACCCAGAACAGAACAGAAGTGTGGTGCACACAGACTGGTTTAAAAATGGTGGAACCTGGTTTAAAATTTGGCCTCCCTCCAACCAAAGTATGAATGTGTGCTCTGTTCGCTACTGATCTAAACTGCACCACTTACAGAAAACTGCATAACTTAGATCAGTTCCACTTCAGCGTTTTTGAATATCTGTACTTAGCCTCTGGGACAAGTAGGTGAGGTACCACCTTTACTTCCTGGAAACCTCCCTACCTGCTCAGGCCGTGTTTCAGCTAGGGTTTGTATTAGTGCCTACAGAGCAAAATGAAAGTATGACTGCATCATGTGTAGGCATAGCAGGTTGAGCTTTGAACTAACAAGCATAGGCAGAATTAGCAGTGAAGCCACAGTGACACAGGTGTCAGAACTTGCTAGCAACTACAGTATGAACCCAGAGTCCCTTGAAGTGTTTCACTCTGCTAGTCTGTCCTGAGGCCTGTGCTGCCATGTCTTCATTGTTGTTGCTTGTGTTAGCTGGATTACAGCAAGTATAAGTTAGCCTGCTGCAAGTGCACCTCAATTCTGTTGTGTAGACCTATTCTGAAAGTCCAGTATAAACAATGGCCCCAACCTTTAGCAATTCTAGCTTGGTCAAGTAAAACCTTAGTCAAGAAGCTAGGTTTAACTCAAATAGTTTGCCTTAAAGTAAATGATGCATTGTAGACTTTTTGAGGTAGTTAGCACATGCTGTAAACTTTCAGTCATGTCAATAACTTTACTGGTATGAGCAGTTCCATTGATTCAGTCCAAAATCAATTACTTGGTTAATATCACAGATCCAAGATAAATTACAATTATCAAGTAGATGAAATGTTCAAGCTGTGTTTTTGAAATCAAACTAGCTGCAAATAGTTTTCCATAATTTCAGGATGGTTGTGATGGTCCCCATGTTACTTGACCATCGTGAACAGGAATTTTTTTCTCTTGAGAATCAGCTTATTAATATTTGTTTGTGATTTGCAATGCCTGACAAATTATATTGTTTAAAAGCATGGTTATACCCACGTCTCTGGAAAAAGCCAAACAAAAAACCTAATTGATTTTTTTTCCCCTCTCTGTGTACAGCCCTCTCTATTGAGGAAATAAACTTCTATTTTGTAAAAACAGTTGTCATTGGCAATTTCATCTTTGTAACCTGGATCTTATAGAGCAGTGGTTCTCAACCCACAGCCCAATCAGCACACTACTGTGGCCCATTTGACAGCCTGTTAAAAAAATGTAAAGATTGCGGCCTGCAGTTTGTTACAGTAAGAGAGAAAAACACAGGAAATGGCAGGTTTCCCCTTGCAGGCTGGCAGAGTTCCAGCTTGCAAGGGCCTGCTTGGGGCTGGGGGGAGTGGGAGGAGGGTGATTGGAGCCAGGGGGCACCACATGCATGTGTGCATGCATATATACATGTGGCAGCCAGGCAGTGTGGAGATCAGGTGAATCTATGTGGGGTGGGGCAGATTGAGGCCCTCATGGTGAAAGGAGGGAGCGAGTAGAATAAGGCAGGGCAGGGCTGGGCTGGGGGTGGGGACACTACCCAGATGGAGCAGTGCATGGGGCCCAGGGCCAAGGTGGCAATGTACAGCCATGGGGCCCAGCCAGGGTGCAGGACGAAGCCACAGGCAGCTTGTTCAGGGGCAGAAGGGAGGGCTGGCTCCCCACTGCTACACAGTTCCTGGTGAGAGAGACATGGGGGAGCGTGTGCCCCTCGTATTTGTGCATTGGGTGGGGGCAGCTGTGGGCTGCCTGCTGCAGGCTCAGGGCTGCCCTGCTCCCCTACCCCTGGTGGCCTCTGCAGCAGAGTGGGGCGAGGAGACTTGGTGCCACTCCTGGGAGCCCCATGCCAGCTGCACCACCATGGCAAGGCTCCCCCTGCCCGCCTGACAGCAGCAGGGGCACAACCCTGCTTCACCACTGCTGCCAGGCAGACAGGGGGCACCTTGCCATGGCAGTTCAGTCGGCACAGAGCTCCTGGTAGCGGTACCAAGCCTCCCTGCCCACTGGTGCCGGGTCCCGCCCGCTGGGCTGCAGAGGCCCCAGGGGAAGGCAGCAGGGTGGGGAGGCTGGAGTCCACAGTGGGCAGCCCTTATCCGCCCCCTCCCCCATGGGTTCTGCTTCGGCCATGCCACCAGAGGCTTGGGGGGGTGGAGAGCCAGGTTCTGCACTCCGCTTCAGCCCCAGCAACTGCCACCTCAGCTGGGACCAGGGAACCTCATCTAGACAAAACCACCACCTCAGCTGGGACCGCTGCCAGGGCATGGAGCTGTGCGATGTGGCCCACATAACACATTGAGAGCTGCAAGTGTGGCCCAATATAGCAAATAGGTTGAGAACCACTTCTGTAGAGAAATGCTTAGTTTCATGAGTTGAGTAGTTACATTCACTTCACCAGGATTACTTATAGGGCATAAACTCAGAAAATAGACAGATGAAGAAATTATACCAAGTCAAAAGTAAAGAATAGCGAAAGACTTTTGGATGCAAAGAGTTGGGGTAGGAGCATTAACTCCTATCTGCTAAACCATGGTAATGTAGCCTTATTTCATTCAGGGGAAAGCTGTCCTGCTTTAGGAGCAAACACATGATAGTTATCATTCTTCATCCCCTTTAATGAGGTATAATTTGTTTGTCTGTCCCTCCTTTAAGTATATGTAAACACTGTGGCAAGACTGGTGTCTTGTGGACAGAAATCTGAAGATAACCCCAAACCAAACTGTTTTCATGGTAAAATTCTTCTGTTGCAAAGACCTTGGGAACACCACAACAGGCCAGAATGTTTTTAATATTATGGATTCCTATTTGAAAACTCTGTGTCTATCTTATGAATCAAGTTTGCACGCCTAATATTGTTGACATTGCATGGCAACCCACAACACCCTTGAAAGGATTCTCAAGGCACCTCAGGGTGTCACGGCACCCTGGTTGAAAATCATTGGTCTGGAGTATGATTTAAAGGTAAAAAAAATATTTAGCTTTTTATGCCATGTCCTGCCATCACCCCTTTAGATCCTCATCTAGACAAAACTGTTGCTTTTGTTTTTCAGTAGCGATATGCAAACGCAAATGCACAAACTCTTTTGTTTGCTCTTGGAATGTAAGAAAGAACAGAAAGATGAGTGAACTGTAATTTCTGATAACCAGTTCAGTTATTGTTTAGAATAAAAATGAGTAACCAAATTGACATATCGCCACATACATGGAATTGCATGCTTTTCATAAGGCACACAGATTTTATGGTGATTAGTACAATATAAATGACTACCTAGAACACTGATTCTCAACCAGGGTGCCATTACAGCTGTTGAAGGGTGCCACCGGGAGAGAGGCTCTTGTGATGAGATGAGTGTAGTCTTTTTCCTGCCAACTGCTGCTTCTCCTTCCCCGGCCCCTCTTCAAGCAGATGAGCACTATAATAAGTTAATTTTTGACATAGGGTCCACATAATTCACAAAGGCAATGGAGGGGTGCCACCAATCAAAAAACATTGAGAGCCTGTGACCTAGAAAGAGCACTGTTTTTCAGTGAAAATCCAGAGAAGTAATGATCACAACTTTTAAAGCATCTCAGTCTTGGAACAAGTTATTTCCCATTACAAACAACCTGAACCTTATTATCTCTATAACTAATTTATTTTTGTTCAGCTTGTCAGTGTTCTCCACATGGTTCCTACCATGGCACATGTGAGCCAGCAACAGGGCAGTGTGAGTGTTGAATAGGCATTACAGGGCAAAAGTGCGACAGGTGCCTTTCAGGAGCCTATAATTTCCCCTATTGTCAAGGTATGGTTTATGATGGAAATAAAATTATTTTATTTTGGCAAATTGCATAAATGTCTACCACAAAGCACTTTAAAACACTTTATTGTACATAAGTTCCATAGAAATCCCACTGAAACAAGCAAAGAATACCTTGGGAATATAAATCAATCATGTGAACTAATGCATCATTTTTTTCTCTCTCTTCATACACTGGACTTTGTGAATTTGACCTTTTTTAATTGGTGGCATAGTCAATTAAAAAAAATAGCCTTCATTCTCAGTGTTCTCTCTCT